ACTTCGAGTAAATTTTATTCATAATGCATTATATGGGTAATTGATAGGGCTAAACTGGAGTCTTAAGAGCGAGTATTCTCAAGCTGAATACCATGGGTAAGCGCGCACATACTCAGGAGTATTGGATCATCCACATCCATTCGAACAGAGATAGGATACAATTTTATCAAGTAAATTAGGCCACATTAAACTAGGCTGTGTGTGAAAAGCTTGCCTTGTAAACACAACTACACCAGCCACAATATTGACGAATGCTGAAGCTTGAGGCCATATTTGGTATAACGTTTGGTCGTGTTTATATATTGTGTTCAAAATGATTTAATCTTCATTCGTACTTCCCAGATCGTCGGAAACATATATCATGCAGAAATAAGTCTTCGACCTTCAGGCTATATATCAGCACTAAGACTCGCGTTATTTAACTTTTACTTAATAGTTTGGGTGAATAACTGGAATGATATATGTGATTGCCAATGTTCTATGAGCAATACCTGTGGGTAATTTTGATCATTTGAAAGTCATTCACTTTTTTTAATGAAATGTTAAGATATTATGCTAGTAACTATTTTTTTTAATTCTTTGACTGCTCTAACATCGTCACAGGGTGGCGGGCCACCTGTAGAGATACGCAACACACATCCGAAATCAGGTCATGAACTCAAATGGAACCAAATGCTCAATTTTGGATTACAGTATCGACATCTTCCACGTTCCACTCGACTCTGTGTTGCTTTGGTAAAAATGCGACTGACGGGCAAGCCTGATAAACGTAATTGCCGAGCTGAAGAGCGCCTAGCTGGATGGGCCAATCTAAACTTGTTCGATGCACGTGGCTTACTTGTACGTGGTCAACACATTCTTCGGCTCTGGCCTGGCTCAATGATACTTCCCGATGTTGACGATCGTTACAACCATCTCAATCCGCCGGGCACCACTCAATTAAATCCTTCTCTTGAGGCTTCTATCAAGGTATCTAACAACTATTGCCGATACTAAATGCAGCAACGTGTTTTAAGTGATATGATTGTTAACCGTTTCCAATAAATTTTTAAGACGATGTAACCTCTTTCACCAAGATCTAGAGAAATGAACTCTTTCTTTTAAATTATTCAAATTATTGTGATGCTCCACTTGGCTATATTTTCGGGTGTTTGCATCTTTTGCCACTTTCATATCTTATTATTTTACTATCTGACGCTTGCTTGATGTTTTATTATAATCGTAATTGGCATCATTTGTTGGCCAAATTATATAAGATACAAATCACCATTCAGCGTTAGATGAAATCTTTCCTCTTGACAAGAGCGCTTTTGAGCAATCATGAAGTTCTTTGCCTATGATATTTACTTTACTTTCTCATAGTTATGCGTCTCTTTCCATTCCTATTTCATATAGAAAATTCATCCTTACTCAGATTCGTGTTCTCTTGTCAAAAACCTAGGGCGTGATCCCACCGGTGGCATCCATCCAGTGCTACAGAATATCCTTGGCTAAATCATTATACCTATAGTCATAGCTCACTCTCGTCCCTTCTCGCTCTGGGTAATATTATCCTGGAAATGCTAATTCAGAACCTCCCAATACTCTCTATTTATATCTTATCTATCCTACTTAGTTTATCTGTTCATTTTGTATTTTCCAAGTCTTATCTAGCAGAGGGATTTTTTCGTTGCATTTGTATCAGCTAGACTGGTAAATCGCAATCATCAAGTCACCTTTGAGATCTTTCTGTCATTCCCATTATCAAACGTTCATTCGATGCGCTCCGCTTTCTCTTAATTTTATATTCTTAGCTCTGCTAAATCTAACTTTGATGATTATAAGCCCGGCTAACCATATGTGACCACTACTTTTCGTCTCTCTTATTGAACTAAATTTGCCAGAATTTCCTAAGTATGACTCAATTTGTTTCTTTTTACTCCACAATTATGTTAGCTTTATGTTTTTGTGATCATTCAAGAGAGCTTTATTTGTCATTTTGGCGAGCTTGATCGTGCACGAAGGATGACTCTTAAGTAGTTATACAGGCTTACGCGTTATACTGTATAATGCTATAATATCAATACAAATAGCGGCTTGCGAAAACACGGTCAGACAAAATCTTATGACGGCAGTAGGTTGTTGTGAAATAGGAAACAGCACTTTAAAGACGAAATTTGACTGAAGACATTCTTATTTAATTGTAAAACTTTATACATTTGCATTTCATGATGAAGTTGACTCTAGTTATCTAATTTGACGATCGGATCCCCCTCACTTTGCAACTTTTTTCCACAAGCGAAGCAACAGTTCCTTTATTGACGACAATACATAGCCGCCACCATAACTCTAATGAATTCTATATTTACTTTTCTGTGACGTTGTTTGATGGGCACACAATTTTGGCTATCCTTGTACCTGAATTTGAAAGGTTAGCTTCTGTATATCTTTGATAACTGGCATTTCTTAATGCCGGTCAATAAAAGTATCTACGAGAGTTGGTGACACGCAATTTATGCAAGTTAAATGGAATTCATTTCAGTCGACTTTCCTAAAGTCCTATCGTGATTCATGAATACTGGCTAGAACGCTTTTCTAAGATATGCTTGCGCCAAGCACCCTGATACCAACTCAGTATCTTTTATCATCATATGGAACTGGTGTCTGTTAACAATACTCAAGTTTATGATAGCTGCGACCAACCGATTACTAACTGCACATATGTGAACTATCGAGTTTAATGACAAACATACAATTAATGTGGGCTGACAGAGTCTTGCTTTGTATAAAAGTCATTCCTGTCATGTAATTCAACATACTCTATCGCGAAATTTTTCTTTATGAGTAGGATTTCGAGACTACCAATAAATCAGTTATTTGATATGTATTCACTCTATTTCGTTTAAGGTGATGAAGGTATTAACTGAATTCTCCCATTATGATATAAGTAGATCTGACTCTGATTCAATTCCACACAGTCGTGCTTTTCCAAAAAGCGTTCTCATCTAGAGGGGACTGCAATTTCGACCTCGCCTAGGTTTTATCAGCATTCTTAGCAGAATTTGAACTGACAGCGCAGCGTCTAATCTCTTTAAGCTAGTCACTACACCACATTGCCAGGATTGTCCTTGGGTTACAGGGCAGATGTTAACTTTAATCAAATAGGATGAATACATCTCATGTAATTATAAGGAATGTCAGGCTTTTTCACATATCTAATTTTTTGGTGGGATTGTCAATAAAGCGTAGTTATTGAAGATATGAAGGCTAAGATGGTGTGGTCTTTCGTATGGTCGCAGTCTCCTTTCGTTGTATAGAAGTTGTTTGACCTTGTTTTCGCAACTTGGTCATATTT